GTTTTTTTAGTAATCTTGAAATCTTTTTTTTCTTGATTAACACATTTTATTGGAATAATCTTTACCATTAATCTTCTTTTATTATTGCAAATAATATTAGTAGAACTTTTCATAAATGAATTTTAGAATATTCAAGACTTTATCATTGAATAACCTTTGTTTTGTTTATGTTCATAATAATAATAATAATAATAATAATAATAATAATAATAGTGGAAACTGTCCACGAAGAATATAGTTTAAAATGAAACATTTAAATCATGCAATACTATGATAATAATACACAAGTTTTAGACCTCAACTGAAAATTCTGTGAACCACCACACTCCCTAGTTTTAAAACTCAATAACTCCATACACCGATTTCATGTTTCCAGTTGCTTAATGCTCCTTTTATTTCTAAATTTGACTACCACCAATGAACATCAGGCTAGTCGTTGTATAGCTCGTGTGTTACGCATATCCAATCATTTTAGTTGATGAAGATTCGCAGCCTAATCAATCGATTTGCTAATTCTATCTAGTGCTTTTTTGGCCTAGTCTCGGTGATAATCTCTCTCCCTATCTACCACCATTATCGGCCATTTTATAGTCTTTAATTTGTATAAAACAAATCGCTGTTCAGTAAACTCGTCATATGCTAAGTGGATGGGTATTTCTTTTGGTACAGATGTGTTGCATATAATCATTTACATTAAGTGTTACAAATTGATAGGTTTCTATATACTACATGTTATTTTGTAAAAAAAAAAACCGTAAAACAATAAATAATATATGTACTATTTACTTTCAATAGTAATTTGAATTGTTTTGACTCATGGCTAAAACGTTCATCGAAAGGAACAGATTTTATACTACCTAATGAATGCTGTAATATGATCAACACTGTTATTGAACTAAAAGCAAGCATATTGAAATTATGTACAAAAGATACTAAAGGGGAAGATATGGTTAGTTTTATTGTTGTTACTTTAAACATTCAAACTTTGTTTTTAAATATTTGTATTATTGTATGTATGAATGTTGATATTTTCTACTCCTTTCTTTCAATGTTTGAAATTAATTCATATTGTGAATAATCAGTAATATTGTGTATGAAAAATTCAGTTTGAAGTGATAAATAAACAAGTCAGACATTTATCAGTGTGAAAAAAGCCCATGTTATGAAGAATAAACTAGAAAGTCATAAAAGGGTCATCTTTTGCTTTGATACTTAATCACGTTCGGTAATGAAGTACCGAATACTGATGTACGGCTATCCTTCATTTAGTAGTGCATATGAGCAACTGACCTCTTTTCTTTCTTTTTCTTCCACATGTTGTGTATTTTACTGTGTTTACTTTTTGTTCCCTTTCGTGATAATTTATTTTCGTACTTCATTTTTTCCATTGAAATTTCTTCCTATTGTTTGAGAGTGTAAGCAAGTGATTTGGGTTTGAATTCTCACAGGGAGCATCTACTCTCTACTAACTGCAGGTAGAACTTACAATTGTCGACTGGCAAAATCTTGTGTCAAGGCTTCTTGCTGAAGTCTCAAGTAAGACGAAACCTGCACTGTCGGCCACCATCCATCTGTGCTTATAATGGCTAATCTATTTTTGTTTCGTTTGGTGAAATCAAGAAACATTTTAACTTCTATGGGGTTTTTATTAATTAATTTTGTAGTGTAATGGTAGCTAATATACTTAACGGATATATATATATATATATATATATATATATATATATATATATATATATATATATAATGTTGTGACTTCAAGGCCTGCTAGTTATCATTTGATTTGTTCACCAATGGAAATACGACTTATTCAATCTCATCACTGTGTTAAACCAATGACGTTCGACCGCTATGAGCAGCCTAGCGTCTTTATTTGTCCTTGGTTCACCTACCCCGTCCAATAACATCTTTCACTATGCGAATCATTTATTTTAAAATATACTTGGTTTATATACCAGCCAAACAGAACTCATCACACCATAAAATGGGAAATAACATTCACACAAGATCGAGTCAAAAAGTGGCTGCGCGCGTGGGAGACTGTAATCAATAAACTGAACATAACTTAAAAAACTGTAAATCGTATAATAATAATAATCTATAGATTTCGATAGTGTAATAAGAAGACGAAGATTATCAGAACTGTGTGATATATTAGCGCAATCTATTCCGAACAATCTGATTACACATATACTTGTTCAAAACATTCATATATAAATATGAAAGGTCAACTAGACTGGAAATGGAGGGTAAGAGTAAACAATAATAATAATAATGTGAAAACAATTTGAAACCCAATCACTCTGGATAATAAGCTAATATTACCGGGTAGGTTTAAGGTGAGAATAATCTATAGGTCAAAATGAAGCTTACAATAAGAGGAATATAGATGTACACAATCTAATCACTTAATAGTTATACAATAAGAATGTATATGTATACATAATATTAGTCCATTAATAGTTTTCAGAAGTGACTCGTAGTTTAATCTTCATTAAGATATCAGAGATAAGATTTTCTTTTTTGTCTTGAGAATATTCTACAAGCTTCCATCATTACTTCTTTACGTATATTTAATTATAAAAATTAGGATTCTTGTTTTGTTTTTCTGTTTTAACAAAAACATGTTCTTAATTCATTCATTTTTAGCTTCCTATCTACCTACTTACATTTTTTCTTAAATAAACTTGTGTGATTGTTTAGAACAATGTATTATTTGAATAAGAAAAAAAAAGTACTATGTTATTGTCATGTGATAAATGTATATAAACATTTTTCTATACAAGTTAGTATATATAAATATTTAGAAGGGCTTTTTGTGGAGAAACCTCTTCTGACTAGTATCTATTTATTATTCTTATAAATATATATGATTTAATTATTTTTTTTAAATAGCATGAATATCAAAATCAAACAGAAACTAATTTAGAACGTGTACAACGAAAAATGGCAATATTATTAAATGATAAAATGGGTAAAATATTAGAAGGGAATCTAATGAAATTAGCTCGTTATGATGTGAATACTTTACTTTCATCAGTACTTTCATTAACTGTAAGTAAATTCATATGTATATAGTTTATTTACTATATTTAAATAAAAAACTAATTATATTCAATTGTAAAATTTTAATGTTTGTTTTAAATTTACAAACTGTTTGGTCAACAATCTATATGTAATTGAATCTACTACAGCTGATGTATTTAATTAGCATAATTCTTGTCTATCATATCATGGATTACATCTGGCTAATTTAAAGTTTTCAATATCCTATTTTCTAAAACTTTATCTTGAAATCATGAGTCAATTGAAACTAGACCACCATGAAAAACCTGGGCCGTCCAGTACTTCCAGGTTTTCCATGGTGATCTAGCTTCAATCGACTCATGATTTCAACTTTGAAAAATACTGAAATCTCCACAAAACCCCTTCTGAAAGCTTTATCTCATTAAATGTAAACTTTCTAATGTTATGTAAATTATTAGTATTAGATGAAGTGATTTTGTTATTCTGATTGGTTTTCTAATTATCTCTTTGTTTAACTTGGTAGGTTTATTTAGTAAATATTTAAATGATTATGAGTTGCTTCAAAATAACCGAATATTTGGCAAATTAGAACTCATAATTCTCATTCAGAGAAGTAAAACAAATATTTCAGCAAAACAAATCTGTATTTCTTTTCGATTCTTGTTTTGTAAAAATCTGTATTGTGATGATTCCGTGATAATGAGTGTGGTGAATAAGTTTTTGAATGTTGACATATTTGCCTATAATGAGTAGATACCATGGATTGCAATTCATGATAATAAATGAGACAAAATAATATTTGATAGTTAAATTATGAGACTGTCTAGAATTTGTGGGATATGTAAGAGATTAACAGCCAGAGATTCAACTGCAGCTTTTGAAATGAAGTCGAAAAGGAAAATTATTCGCTTACTGTCATTGCCTATTGTTGTATCTATCTGGTTTTTCGATGATACACTGGATATCCTGCGAACTGTGCTATAATGCTAACCATAGATCTGACTCGAAAAGAATAGAGTAACTGAGTGTAAAGTACCTAGTTTATCTACGATAACATTGTTTGATTTAATTAACTATTGATATAAGTTAATATGATGGTTGATTGAATAATAAAATGAAGCGCTGTAACTGAAGTTTCAATCTGTTACGCAATGATTCATATAACCTGATATTATATCCATTGCTAGTTCAAATCCACTTATGATGTCATCCGGAGTCAATGATAATGAAATGAATAAGATGAAATATTTGAAAAATCTCTTTAAATTACTCATTTCTATTCAGCAGGGTTCTTTGTGTATCTTTACAAACTGACATGCCGTATATGTTTACACCATCTAGAATTCAACTCATATATCTAATTATATTACTATTAAATTTTACATTATGTTAATCTGTCTATATTTTAATTACTACACGAAAATTGTCAGTATTAGTAATCATGACAATAATAACACTAGTTGATAGTAATTGGTCTTTGTTTATTTTGTTGTTATTATAGTTAATTTTATCTACATCCGGTCAGTCGGTTTTATCTGTTTTAATTCTATAACTATTAAACTATAACAACGTGTTTTTGTAAACCATGTTAATGATAAAGTTATTATAGCAGAATTATGTTCAGATGTTATTTTATGCTCGTTTTTATCACTCCTGCCATTCTATTCCAATAACTTATCACCTACGGTTTTTGTTAACTCTCAATACTAAACTAATGAAAATGATTTGAACAACAAAATGTTAGATAAAGAGTACGGATCATGTGGAAAACTTCAAAACTGCATTCAATCGTCATTATTTTATTTAAACTTAATATTTTGCTTTCAACATCTTATCAACCTTTTCAATTGAAATTTCTTCAATGTAAATTCACATCTTATAAATTTTGCTCCTTACTGTTCGTTGAAATTGAGTTTTGCAAACTTTTTATTTATTTCACATAACAACTAAACATTAAAGTATCAACTTTGATGATCAGAAATTTTAATATAAACGAACTATTACAGTTTTACTAATAATCCGAAAACTACCATATCCATTGTATTTATTACAAAACTTATGATTTAAAACTTTTAACATTGATCGTAATAGAGTATACTGTGAATATCTTTCACATACTTATTCTCACTGTCAAATATAAGTGTATATCATTTAAGTAAATATTTTAAATTTTTGGTATCACTTCATCTTCAGCTTGTTTTCTTTTGCTTTACATTATGGTCTGATTTATTGTTTATTTCCTTCTTTGAAAATATTTATCAATGGTAAGTGGATTTCTTTTTCCAACATTATTCACAGATAATGTTGTATAGCTTTTCTTTTTTTTCTTTTTCTTGCCATAAAGTTGTGACCTATTCATGGAGAGTTTCAAAAATAAAGTAAACAAACGAAGCAGGTTGTACAAGGGAACATGACTTTCTAGAAAATTAGAATTGAAAGAAAAAAAGATGTTTTCTCGTATTATTAATTCAATATATTTTTGACATAATTTAGGTCAAGAAAAAATAATCTCAAGATCACTCTTAAGGTCAACTAATATATATTCCACTTTGCTTTTATTAAACTTGTGGCATAATTATGTGAAAGAGAGAATTATGCTCCATAAAAATTTAATCTCCTAAACTGATACTTATAGTTTCTTTTCGTTTTCGAATGTCTTATTCCAACGAATTAAACAAATGTATGTAGACTTACTTACTTATGCCTGTTATCCCTCGTGAAGGAGCATAAGCCGCCCACCAGCATTCTCCATCCAACCATGTCCTAGTCGATCCTTTCCAGTTGTCATTCATCCTTTTCATATCTGCTTCTATTTCCGACGCAATATATTCCTTGGCCTTCCTCTTTCCCGTTTCCCTTCAGGATTCCAAGTTAGGGCTTGCCTCGTGATGCAGTTTGTTGATTTCTTCAATGTATGTTCTATCCACTTTTCTTTTCTTAATTTCCTCTTCAGCTGGAAGCTGGTTTATCCTCTCCCACAAAAGGATGTTGCTGATAGTATCCGGCCAGTAAATGTTGAGTATTTTGCGTAGACAACTATTTATAAATACTTGTGTCTTCTTGATGATGGCTGTAGTAGTTCTCCACGTTTCAGCTCCGTACAGTAGAACTAACTGTTTTAACGTTCGTATTGAAGATTCTGACTTTGATATTGGTTGACAGTTGTTTTGAGTTCCTGCTCGTGTTCGACCGTTCTTATTTGCTATTTTCTTGTCCTTCTTTTCTTCAATCTTGTTCATGGTTTCGATGGAGATCTGAAGCTATGTCAGTTTCTCTCCTGGTTCTCACATCTTCCATTGTCCGTCGGAATTTTTTGTTACTACAAATATGATCTATCTGGTTCTTTGTGTTGTGGTCCGGTGAGATTTATGTAGCTTTGTGTATGCGTTTGTGTGGAAATATTGTACCACCTATAACCAATTTGTTGAATGCGATTAGATTTCCAAACCTCTCACCAGTTTTGTTTCTATCTCCCAGTCCATGTCTTCCCGTGATGTCTTCATATCCTGTATTGTGCACTCCGACTTTAACATTTGGATCTCTTATCAGTATGGTCAAGGCCTTTCTTGCGCACTTCTCTATGATTGATTGCAGCCTCGAATAGAACGTATCTTTAATGTCGTCTTTGCTATCATTGGTGGGTGCCCAACACTGGATAATATTCATTGTGATCCCATCCTTTTTTGTTTTGAATGATGCTTTGATAATTCAGGATCCGTGAGATCCCCATTCTACAAGTGCATTTCGTGCTTCTCTGGATAGAATTAGAGCAACTCCCTGAGTGTGTGGAGAATTTTCCTATTCATGACCGGAGTACAGTGACTTCCGAAGAATCTCGACTTTCATCCTAAGGAGTCATAATTCTTCCTTGAACTCGGAGGGCAGAGTTTATATGGTTTGGACTATTTTTTCTGGTTGGCGATTTTTTAACGAGTTAGTTTTCTACGGCATGGGGTCGCCAACCCCATGCACACCCCTCCTCCTTTATTCGGGCTTGGGACCCGGCAGTTACTCTAGAACAGGCGGAGTTAAAATAGTCATAAACATAGAGATATGTGTATTTTTCCGTCATCGTCATTTGTATTCTCTGTTTTCTATATGTTTATGATTTCGTATTGTATCAAAATGTTTATACTCGTTAGTAATATCTTAATTATTCATAGTTTGATTTCTATAGGACAAAATCAAAATCCCAGGACACAATTGCACAGATGATTTCATTAAGTTTTCTTCATCTTCAATTTAATTTTCATTCACATCACGGATTCACTTATTTTACTCTTGTTTTTCTGTTTCAGCGAACATATGATTTTGTCTCGTACTCCCTTGTACAATTCCTATTTCCCATTATCAAACAATCCAAATAAAATATGCTAAATAATTTACACAGAATAAAATGCCGAAATTTATCTAAGAAATTCTTATTATAAATAAATTATCAGTAATTACCATTTCTACTAAGCAACAACGGTTAACATAACTAGTTGTAAATATCAATATCTACTTAAATAATATATTATAGATATGATAACATAATTCAATTTCATATTTATTTTATTATCATTCATAAGATTACTCAACTACAATTTGAAATGCTTATCTTTAGGAGGATATCGATCAATTATTATGAGTAATAACATGGGAGTATCAGTGTATATATGAATCAGAAAGTGATACTGTTGACATATATAATGATAAAATGTATTTAAGTGTTTATAAAAAGTATTATATAGTACAGGTAAACTTTAATAAATCAACATTTCCATTTACATGTGTAAAATTTGTTTAAAAGTTATTGGAAATAGATATTTACCTCATCATTCACTAGTCTAGGCAGTAAACATTCTAATAGAATCTGAAATAGCGTGCTTAATAGTCTTTGGTATTTTTAACGTATTAACGAATTAATTTAATTTTGAATAACAACAATAGTTAAATTATAAACTCTTACAAATTATAATGAATGCCATTGTTTTCTTTAGAAAAGGTGACTCGGTAGTTTAGTGGAAATCTGTGTATTATTTGAAGAACTGAATTCTGAGTCCAAATCGTAGTGTGATTACTCAGGACTTATGGTACATCCAAAGGACAATTTTATTTCGATAGAGATTATCTGAAAAGTCTTTTCGGTGTATATACATTTTATGTACTGAGCATGTTTAAGCTTATTACGACAAGAAACGTTTTTGTCTATGTTAAGATCTTTCTCATTTTACAAGGTACATTATGTGTCACTTAATTCAGTGAAAAATGTATTAGTTACCTGTCTATCAAAATAACAAGTACAAAAATGTCATGTTGGATTATTTTATGTACACAGTATATATTCATTTGTGATTACTGAGTTAAAACATCTAATCCGTAATATTGTTGTGTTTTAGTTCTATGTACAAGTAGTTACTACATAAGATTGTAAAAGTAAAGTATAATACTACTTATCTATCCATTAATGTTTAAAAATACTTGGAAAATGTGAATCACTGTAATTCTTATTGTCTAAAGTTAATAACTGGAACCACTAGGTAGATAAAATTGATGAACACTTTCTAGATTCTCCTTTCATTTCTGAAAATTTTATTAAATTAAACTATAAGCATATTTAAATATTCTCTAGAATTTGAGAGATATTTTCGAATTTATTGTACCATAGTGGTAAAAAGTGTTTTGTTAATAGGACTATGAATTATGGACAAACCAATCTCAGTCAGAAGTGAATGTATTTCATTTCAGTTTGTTTAGACAAATTACTTATTTGTTATTAGTGTTGTAAAATATTAATTTAAAACTAGACAATTGACAGTCAATCGTAAATAATAATATTGATAACTAAGAATCCTTGGTCCTCATTATGTAATTCTGTTTAATGTGCATTCAAATTGTGACTGTTTAAAAACATACTTTTTCATAAATGTTTTCAACAGTCAATATCTTACATTTATTTGAAATCACGGAAAGTTTTTACCAATTCGAGCGCTTAAAATGTTTTTTTTTCCATTCATCACATATAACATTCATACACTATATTGTAACTGTCTCTCGTTACTTCAAACGGTAGAAAATATCCTGACAGGTTTAGTGTTGTCCAGTTTTCAAAATCAGAATTATTTGTAGGTTGTTTTTAATAGTCTATTGTTGCACATATTTATAGTCCATAACTACTCTTTCCGAACGAATCTAAAATTTGTTAGTTTATTTTAAAATTTATATAACTGGGAAATAGTTGACTCAAACGTTTGAACTGACCTCCTTACAACCCAATCACTCATATTAATGTCAATAGCATATATATATATGAAATTCGATTTTTACTGGAATTTTTAAATGGCGAATTTCAATTGCTTGTCATTATTACGGATAAGTTACTTCTAACAAAATAAGTTGAACAGAAAAAGATTATTCAAGTGATTATAAAGCATGAAACTCTAAAGCAAAATCATTTTCATTTGAATTGTATGGTATACTTAAGAGTACTTATAAATTAGTTATTAGTGGTCTTCACAGTTACCCATAAACACACACTAGAAGGTATGATGGTTCAGTAAATTATGAATGACTCAAAGTCAATCGGTTCCTAGAAAATGTTTCTTTGAGCCTATTCTTAAAAGAGGATACTTGAAACGAAAGATTTTATCCTAAAGAGTTGATAGCACATACACGATTGCTTTACCGCTTTTAATGGTTACAGATTGATTTTTTATATTAATTTATTTAACTTAACGGTATGTAAATCCCTAAAAATCCTCATTTTCATTCGGAATTTTATAAGTTCCCTGTGATGACCGATGATCTTGGCTCCTGAATAAACTTGGAGAAATTTAGCGTTAAAGTGTTTCACTCATACTAATATTAATTGGTTTAATACTATCCAAACCGTAGTGCTGATTAAATTTTGTGGATCAAGTCACAGTGTGGAGGGGTCACTAGGCTTTGGAACTACACAGAGTAGTACATTTCGTTTATTATTAAATAGTTCAAATAAATTGAAATCCTTTATGTTAATGCATAGATTGCTACTTTATTAGTAGGATTTAACTAGTACTAGTGAGTAAAAGATATGGCGTCATCTGGTTATAAGTGATAAACTAATGTTTTGACGTCTTATCATCACAGATGGTCGACTGTTTCGACTCAGTGGTAACATTTTTAACTTTAGTACTGGATGATATGGAATTAAGCTCCACGGAAAAAAACCAGTTTTCTAAAAAGAGGTTCAGATATATCCTGATGATGAGTCCTAACTGAAAAGAGAGCCAGGTTTTTATACCATTGCGCTTAACTTCTTAAAATAAGCCTATTTGCAGAAAGTTTTCATTGCTTCTTCAGTATACTTTTTCCATGACTTTGTAAACAATGTTTTAAATGAGATGGTGACTTTGAGATATATATATGCCCTTTTAATTCAAACTATCAGTGCCATA